CATCATTTGGCAGAACAATTGCACAGGCATTTCAAGATGGAAATTACGTTGGACTAGCTACGATTACCTTGTCATTTTTCCTATTGGTCCTTGGTATTGTGTATGTCCAGGTAAACGCTTTTCAGCTTATCTAATTTATAGCATATCTTTTATGTGCTAAGAAAAGCTTGATAAATGGTTTCTAGGAAGCAGAAAGGAAGATCCCACTAAACTATGCTTCAAGATACAGAAGTGGGGGCCTTCAAAAATCTGCATATCTTCCTTTTAAGGTTTGTTATATTTCTTGTTGATCCATTATTCTGCTCCAAGTATATTGCTTGATACTTTCAAGTTTCAATACAGTGTTAGTTATTTGCTGTTATAGTCTTCAATAACAACAACATTCCATGAATCTTTTCTTGCCAGTGTGCTTTGTGTTATGCAATCTTTCTAATAAATGAAGAATATTCATTTTCTTTATTGTTCTTAAGTAGATCTATTTATGTTTCCCTTTACCTCTCTTGACACCATTAATCATAATTGAGTTATACAGTCTAATCACAATATCTATAGGTCTCTTTTGAACCTGTTCATATCATAGACAATCTTATGGCATTTTATCCTCTATGAAGTAACACCTAATTATTCTTGAAATGAATAATTCTTATTTTTTTATAATAACTTCATACATCAATCTCAATAGTCTTATTTCAGTTACACTATTCTTTGTGCTTGTTTTTCGCCACCCAACAACATGATTTGCCCAACATTATGGTTTGGGAAGCATTTTGAACTTATATTTGTTTGTTATAAAAATTTCCTTTCAATGTAAGGACAACTCAATGATCACATAAATTCTGACATCCATCTTCTTTTTAAGCATTTGACTTTTACTGAAGAATATCTTCATCAATCCAGTTGAATAATAAATTAAAGATACTTAAGACTTTTACTTGCATAAACTTGTTGTTCATTCATGTTAATTGTATCCTCATTTCTTTTGTTTTAAACTACATTTCATATATTTGAATTTAGTTTTAATTTAATACTTTTAATTTCCAAGACTATTCTTCATAAGTTTAGAAGTAATCCGAACTAAACTTTCGATAACCATGACAATATTGTCAGCCAATAATGAACACCACAGGGGTCCTTGACATGACCAGTAAGTTCAACTCCTATCCCTGAAAACACCCTTAAACACAAAGACCCGAGAAACATGAGCGTTATTGCTTATTGCCACGCACCTGATGACTTCAACACAAACTTGCAGTTGCTGATCAAATTTTAAGGCAACTGCAAGACTTGTTCAATTACTTTAAAGTGTTGGTTTTATTTTTTTGCGCTGGTTGGGTTTACTTCAATTCTACTTGAAAATATCTATATGATTGTTCAGTATTTCTTTAATTCTTTCTTTTTTCTATAAAGCTATCATCTTCATTTTGCAAAGTGCATTGGCTGTGTACTAATATTCTTAAGCAGGTGAATAGCTCCGGAGTGATGCCCATTATATTTTCAACTTCTTCCTTGGCTTTACCTGGCACTCTGGCACGCTTCACTGGTTTAACTGCTCTTAAAAAGGCTGCAGTTGCTTTGAACCCAGGAGGTAAGCTTGTTATCTGATTAGCCACTAAAAGATCAGATGAGGATTATGTAGAATAGATCATGTTAATGTATCATAACCAAAGTCAAAAGGATATTTTACCTTAATCATGTAAATAAAATGCTTCATCATGTTTTCGTCAATAGATTTTTCTTTTCTAAATTCAGACTTCTAATAAGAATATATCTTGCAGGTCCTTTATATCTTCCTACTAACGTCCTACTCATTGCTTTTTTCAATTATTATTATACTTTTCTACAATTGGACCCTGACGATGTGAGCGAGCAGTTGAAGCGCCAGGGGGCTTCAATACCACTTGTTCGACCTGGAAAAAGCACAGCTGCTTTTCTTAAAACAGTAAGGATGTTCATTTTTATTATGAGTTAATATGCTGTATCATATGCATAAGATGTTCCTTTTTTTGTTATAGAGATAAAATTCACATGGCATGTTTTGGTCTAATAAGATTCCAGTATGGTGTTGAGAGTGGTATTCAAAACCTTGAACCTTATAATACTTGCATACTTCTAAACAGATTCTAGCATTATTCTGTCCCATGGCATGATTGATATTTAATCAGTACTCTGCTCTCTGCTGTAGCACTTAGCCTTTTAAGTATCAACTTATGTTCGTTATATTAATAGTGTTCTGAGAGTAAGACATCTGGGCTTTTGTCCAGTAATATCAGCTTGAACTTGTCAAGTGGGCTGTTAGGTACTTTCTGCTTTGGATAATGGATACTCTCCATTTTGTGAGGACAGGGATTTTACACTTCTAACATCTAATTATATGAATTCTTTCCCAATGGGGTTTTTCTTAGTCTGTTACAGACTAAGAGATTCAAAGTGATTGCAAGTATTGCAAATGATATAGTATAATGCTAATTACTTTGAATTTTACCTGGAAATCCCTAAATAGATGAAGAATGGTTTATGGATCCAGTGTATCTACTGATAAACTAGAGTCAGAATTGGTACTTGCAACTCCATAATAGCTGATATAATTTGCTTATATATTGCTTCTGCAGGTTCTTAGCCGGATATCAGTACTGGGTTCAGCTTTTCTGGCAGTGCTCGCAGCTGGCCCGTCTGTTATCGAACAAACAACACACTTGACTGCTTTCCGTGGATTTGCTGGTACATCTATTCTAATTCTCGTGGGATGTGCAACTGATACAGCAAGAAAAGTTCAGGCAGAAATCATATCGCAGAAGTACAAGAACATCGAGTTTTATGACATCAACCAGTATGGCCCTTGAATGTAATCGACAAAAATCATGCACCTTCTTTTCGAGCACACCGTGCTACCAAATTATCAATGTTGTCATTATTGAAAAGGGAACTAACACGCATATATTATGCCCCACAGAAAAAATTGTTAGAGGTCAAGAGGCTGTAAGTTTGCGTCTTATCGCCGTTATTTGACCGTGTTGGTCTATAAAGTATCTAGAGTGTAGATATCTTCTGAAGAAAATTGAACTTAAATCATTCTTTCTTTATGTGATGATCAAAATACTAATGATATGTTCTTTGTTGATTGCATCTTGGTAAATCAGTAAACGGTGATGTTTAATCTTGCAGATATGTCTGTTTATTGAGGTAACTAAAGAGTGCTCGAAACACAAATCCTAATGGAGTTAATGCAGAGGTTCCTGCACTTTGGCGATATTATGTTATTGCCCCTAATTTGACAGAGATATTGAGATTGTGAATAGCATGTTAGTCACTAGGGTGTGAACAGTGTGCTATTCCCCATAATTTTGATTCCATTTATTAGTTAATTTGGGATTGTATCCTATCTGAACTGTTTAACCTAATCAAATATCTTTATCAGAACATGTTATGAGTTTTAAACTTGCATCAGTCCATTTCTATTCCTGTTTGGTGTTTAATTAATGTTTATACAATGACTTTTTCTCTATTTGAGATAACAAACCAGCTTGCATGTGAGAAGGGATGTCAGAGTAGAAAGCATGGATACATAGTTCATGATTGAGATGAAACCTTCAAAATAAGATCTGCTAACTAATCCAACAAGAGTGTCAGTCACACTGTCTAATACTTAAATAATATATCCATTTAATCAAGCATCACTGTAATTGCCATGAAGTAAGACATTGTTCCAGCAGAATTCTTTGGCAGATCAAGATCTTTCAGCAACAGATAGAATTTACAAAAAGTTGTCATAAAGTACTGGTTCACAATGCTTAGTTCTTCATGATTCATAAGCATCATCAGTTGTTGCTCAGCTTGTGCTAGTGGAGTTACTACACACTTCAGTGGCTTTAACACCATGTACTTCCCCATTGTGATCCAATCTTCATGTAAATTTCTCACCTAGGAAAAAACAATAAGCTACAAGATCATGTGCAAGCAAGACAATGACATTTGATGTGTCTGCAGTCAGTACAGATCTACAGCACACTCACTCAATAAAAAGATCAGCAAAGTGAAGGATCAATTACTAATGTTGTAGCTCAAGGCTACCATTTTATGGCTCAAGACCTCTTGACACAGCCATGGGAGGACATATTGGCAGCTTCCCAAAAAGTTCCCTGTCCCACAATGTTAATGGGACATTGTGGGACAAAGTGTTCCTCTCACTTTACCTGAACTCATTCAAGGTTTTAACCAAAGGCTTCACCTCCATGTCCTTCAGTTTTGGCAAGGAGACAGGGATGGAACATGGTGTGGGCCAACCCTTCCTCACAAATATGGCTTCTTGCTTGGAAGATGAACCAACCCATCATGAGGTCAACACCATGAACAAGAACTGCTGCTAAGCATGAAGTGGAAAAAGCTGCATTGAAGCATGTACTTGGCAAACTGGTCTGAGATGAACCATGTTACAGATCTTACCTCTCTGCACTTTTCTTTTACTTGAGATGCAACAAAGCAATAGCTGTGGACTTGGAGGATTCCAGCAATGGAAGAACAGAGCTGAGTTTTTGAGATCCACACTTGACACACATCATGTGTAACTCAGTCCTGTGGCCCCCTGTTTATACAACATCTGGAATCTTTCTTTCTCACCTTGTACTTGTTTGTACACATCCTGTATGTATTCCTCTTGCAATAAATGTGGGAGTACTATTTTCCTTAAGAAAAGAAAGATGAGGAAGAAACAAATAGTGTCAATGTGACTTCTTCTCCCAAACAAAAAAGCTGAGTTTTGCTTATGATATTTTAAGCCTTCATGCCAAACCAATCACCAAATCATATGGGCAACCAATTTATTTGCTAGACCATATATGCATCATAAACAGCAATTAAATCTTTTGATTTATTAAAGTTTTGGAACTTTTCATGACCGCATTACCTACTCAAAGAAAGTTTTTTGTTACAAACAAAAAGCAATGAGTATAAGCTACTAGACATTCGAGTTACCGAGCAATGAAAGACAATAAGCAAACATCACGATTACTTGAAATAATTCGTCGATACTGAAGTAACACAACAGAACAAGGGGTTCTCAAGTCAACCATTCATACATCAAATTGATGAGCAGCTAAAGTAAGATCCTGAATGTCCTAACTTGACAAGGACCCTTGATACAAGATAAGTATGCATCCTAAGCTAAGACCAGTAGCTGAGAAAAGTCCATGTACAAAAAGAAAAGAAATCAATAACAGAGACAGAGAAGAGGGAGGAAAGATGAACTCTAGAAGCCAGATGCCCTTCCTAGCGTGTCATTTATATCTGGGGTGATGGTTGTCATCCCGGTTGTTCCTGAAGGCGCAGCATCCAATAGAGTAGACAACAACAAGGAAGATGAGGAAAATGATATTAGCTACGGCAACCTTCTTCCAGTCATGCTTGAGGTTGGCGAGAACCCCTGCCTTGCAAGATTGGCAGTCATAGCAAAGAGTGGATTGGCCACTTTGCCATGTGTTGCAGTCCGGCACATCAGATGAGTTGAAGCCAGGAGGTTTATTCCATGCAGTTCCATTCATGTAGGTGAAGTTACATGCACTGGGAGGTTTGCAGCATCCAGACTGAACCGACAAGAGATAAACACAACACAATAAAAGTCAAGATACAAGTAGTAATGCCTACATGATACTTTGCCAGAGTGCTACTGGTGGACACTTCTACTTTCGCATAACCTATTACAGGTTGTGGTACATACTTCTGTTTCTCCTCCCTAACATTATGCTTTTAGATACTATTTTATCTGCAGAATGAATTTGATCAGGTGTTCCATTTTAAAGGTTTAGCCATAAACCAAACTATCTTCACTATCTGAAAAGAGAGTTCAAGCAAGGCACCAAGTTCATCTGTGCATGGCTACTTGCAGCCAACTATCCATATTCTTTGTGGACTGGGAGCATTCTATGTTGATTGTTAACCAGTATTGAAGGAATCAGACTTTACAAAGAAGGTCAACAGTAGTGTAATACAGAAAGACCTGCATGCTCATAAAGAAAGGGATACACATGGAAGAAGACAATCATTTCAAACAATAAAGTCACTTAAAACCACTCGAGCTGTACACATGCTGATTCAATGTGGTGCTTTGGAAATTTTGCCTATTGAAGTGCTCAGAAGTGATTTTAGATTCATCTTGTGAAAAAGGTGAACATGAATGTAATGAATCAGAGGTCAAGATGTGGACTAGGTCAAAACATATTTAAGTAGTCATTATTTTCTTTCAGCATAATTTCGAGTTTTTGTCACAAAAAGACAACCTGTTCAGTATGAACAAAAATATTAATGTAATAAAGAACACAAATATAGTTTACTGAGGAGAAGCAACCAGTGCAGTATGAAAATTGAAGCTGCAAATAAGATTCACAAAGAAGACACAAAGTTTGAAGTCTGGTATTGAGAAAATGCCATGGAAAACAACAAAGCTTACACCACATAAGATTCTTCCTTATCTATATGTCTATAACTCAAAAAGGCAGCAGCAGAAGATATGAAACGTAAATTTCATACAGAAAAAGATAATGATTATGATGATGATGATGATAACAAATTACTAACACAACAAGTATACCAGCAAAAGGGTTAGGCTTGCACTACACCTTGAACTTTCATAAGAATCACACAATCCCACTCTTAAGTGCAGCAGGTTTGGGCCACATTAATCATACTCAAAGAACTGTTGCAACTCAAAACAACACAAAAACTCGTAGAAGACAAGAGAAACGACAGAGGTTATAATTGAGGAACCCATCTTCCATACCAATTAGATTTGACAAAAAAGAGATTCCTCATATCTCAAGAATTCATGCTAGCTACCAAAAGCAAAATTTAGACAAACACTACACGTACAGGATGCACCACCACCAACAGAAATAGAGAGAGGAGATGCCCAAACAGAAGCCAACATGTCACAGGCAGTAAAGAAGATCAGAGCAATGTGCGGAGTTGAATGTCAAAAGAAGATATGCTATAGAGAAAATTTTGCTCCAGAGGACAATTTGCAACGGCCAAACTTCTAAAAGAGCAGACCATCTACCGATTTACATGCCCCATGGACACATGCTTCTCGAAGATCGAACCTTTACAGCATAATATCGTCGGAGAGCGTCTCAAACGGGAGAAGCAACGCAAGCAAAAGACAAAAAGATGCCATTTTCAGTTCTCAAAACCAAAACCTTGCGGGAGAAAACAAGAAAAGGGGATGACTAATGCAAGCCAAAAAGATGCGATTTTTAGCGCCACAAAGCACCGACCTGTATAGGGGAGAGGTTATCTTTGATGAATTGGTCCCAAGTCTGGTTCTTGTTCTGCAAGCTCTCGCACACCTTGCCCTGCTGCAAGCAGCTGCGGATCCTCCTCCAGTTACTGGCCTTCTCCACCCTCCTCTGGAGCCAGTCGGAGTAGTCCCCCAGGCGGTACTCCTTGAACCCGCGTCCGGAGACGACCTCTCCGGCGCCCTTGTTGGTGACGACGAAGGCGAAGACGGTGAAGCAGACGAGGAGGAGGATGAGGAGGAACATGACGACCAGGTACAGCCAGAGGAGGCAGGAGTTGCGGCAGCAGGCGCCGACGAAGCCGGCGAGGGAGACAAGGAAGAGGAAGACACCGAGGGCGACGAGGGGCCGCTCCAGGAACTTCTCGCAGTCGGTATTGGCACGCTGGCTCAGCCAAATGCCGCCGCCGATAATGGGGATCGACAGTACCAGAGTGATGACATTGAGCACACCGATGAGGCTGTTGCTGAACCGCACCATCTTCCTCAGGCGGATTGCGGTCTCTCGCCGTCGCTTCTTCTGCACGCACTGGGGAGGGAGAGGAAGAGACGAAGATGAGAGAGATGACGGCAGAGCGAACACTGTGTGGGAAACAAGCATCAAAGTGAAAGAGGAATAATATTTATAGGGGAATTATTATTATATGGTTTTTTATAAACCAATAGAAATTATAACTAAAACATATTGACATTATTTACCAAATAATATTGTGTTTGGATATATTTGCACCATTATGTGATGGTGGGCCATATATATATATATATACATATATATATATATATACATATATATATGTTTTAGTCAAAGTCATTAATTATATTTATATATATAATTAATGACTTTGACAAAGTCATCCAAATTTAGGTTACAATAGAATTAAAATGCATCAATCACCTCTTAATGCCAAATTAAGCAATTAGTAAAAGAGGGGTAACCGACTCAGCCATAAAAACCTTAATTTGAAGGCATTTGTCCGGTAAATTACACATTAACAAAGCTTAAATAACCCAATAAAAATATCTCCTTTTGGCCTTTTGACTAAAAATTTAGTCAACTCGTGAAGACATCTTCTTAAGCACTCTTTTGGGTAACTAAGTGCACGAGATCATCCAAGGCCGCACACGCGATGCCATGTAATCGTATTATTCTTTACGACTATGAACGGGTATTATGTGGGGCTCAATCACATGCGTCTCTGTTGTTTGCCAATTCCATGTCAAATGATACTATGCGTCAATCATATCCGTCGAATCAAAATTTTGATGGCAAATCGATCGAGGATAGACACACGAGATCATCTTACGCGCGCCTTACGTAGTGCACATTTTTTTCCACGTAATCGCATGATCTTTATGCCTAACCTGTATTGTGTAGGCCCATCAATAGTCATGTTAACCATAGTTAATTATATTGCCTTTTGTAACTAGTTAGTTTTGGTATATTGATCCCTATACTTTAAAAAATTATATTAACATATTTATAGTTATGAAAGTGAAACATTTAACATCATTTCTCTTTGTATCATCGACTCGATGAAAAATACTATCAGTGCAAAAATAATGCTAAAAAGAGAGATAAAAAATATAATTTTATTATCCTCGTTGTTCAAAAGATATTAATTTCGCATATGAATAACTTATGTGACAACTTTACTATCCTTTCTCTGGTTTTGTCCTTTCCTCCGGCTTCGCTATCCTCCCAGAAGGCCTACCCAACGATGATGTCGATGGTGATCATCATCTTCTATATCGACCTTATGTGAAGTCGAAAGTATTGGGTAGGATAACGAAGCAAGAAAAATGAGATAATGTAGAAGATGAGGATCACTAGTAACACCGTCGTTGGGTAGGTCTTCCATGAGGATAATCAATTAGAGATTAAAGGATAGCCCATGCGTTAATCATATTCGTCCAATCAAATACCGAAAGTTCTACAGTATAATTGAACTTAGATTTGTGAACTTAGGATTAATGCGTTTGCAAGAAGATTAGTTCTTCGATATAGTGATAATGCTTTGCGAGTTAACTTACTACATACTAAAATACTCGCACATATAATATCATTCCGTTGATTCGAATTTAGCATCATATTGATTTCTAGAATATTAATATAAATTCGAGTTGTAAGTAATAAACATAATCATAAATCTGTTTATTTATTTTTTTTGCCGGTCGAAATAATAAGGGGAGTCGATAGGGGTATAATTGTAATTCGACAAGACTCCGAACACACGTGCGCGGCTACCCCGCGGCACGTGTACGGCCGCCCGATACGGACGACGCCCCGCTCCTAAATGTTAACGTGTCTGTATCCCCAAAGTCGGAGAAGGACGAAGTGACCTCGGGAAGTCCTCCGAATCCTCTCCGCCCTCCTCGCCAAATCCGGATTCGGGCTCCAACCCCTAGTTTTGGCGATTAGACCTTTTGGTTCGTCGGAATCTAGAGTGGAGGAGGCTGACAGCGTGGAGACGTTGCGGGGATCTGCGATCTAGGGCTTTCGGGCAGCCTTTCCCTTTGCTGGATTATTTGATGGTTCAGTTGAGGAGTTACGAGAAGCTGCGGCCGGATTCGGGGCTGCCGATTACGAAGCCGACGCCGGCGCCTGCGGCGGCCGGGGTGAAGTTGGAGATTGAGGACCAGTTGGAGGACGAACATGGGCCGCTCGACAAGAGGCCCAAGATGGACACCTCTCCGCTCCTGCCGGTGGATCTATCTTGTTCTTTTTCCTTTCTTGTTTCAAGCGAAAGCCTCATTCTTTGGCATTCTCTGGCTTTGATTGCAGATGATTCTCGAGTAATTCCAAAAAATAGTTTGATCTGATTTATATATGTCTTCTAGGTTGGTTAATGTCGGGATACATGGTGGATGTGTTTTAAGAAAGATGTGTCTACAGTTCAAACAGTTAGAAAAAAAGTCATTTTTTTTCTTTTTGTTTTGCATTTTTGGAATCTTGAAGTACCAGATAACTATTGAAACTTTGGCAGTTCTGTGAGAGGCTTCCATCTTTTACATCTTTTATATTGCATTTCTGTTGAATTATTGGTGATTGGCCGAAAAGTTTCGTCATTTTGTCTTCCCTGGAACAAACGGTTAAGTGTTGAACTTGTGAGGCCGATGCTCCTTTTTCATGATAAAAGAATAATGTCGAGCTTTGAGAATCAAGCTTTTTTATGGAGAATGTTTGTTTTGCGTTCTCCCTTATTCTTCTTAATATGCTGAATGTGATTTCAGCCACGCGAGTCACAAGTGAGCTTGGATGTTCTGTCCTGGGAAATTTGTTATGCTTTCTTATTTCCAAAATCTGTTTGTCAAGACACATGTATTATCTAGTTTTGGAAAATTATTTACTAAGTTGGTGTCTTATTGCAGTGGGGAATTGGTGGAAGTATGCCTCCAACAGAGCTCATTCAAAACAATCTGCTAAATGAGCCTAGCCCATTGGGTCTTCACCTGCGGAAGAGTCCATCACTGCTGGACTTAATTCAGATGAGGTTGTCCCAAGCAAGTGCGAGTGTGAAGTCATCTGTCATGAGGAATGAGAGCTTAGAGGATGTGAAAAATGAAGATTTTAAGTCTACTGGTGCTTTAGCCAACATTGAGAAGATGAAAGCATCAAACTTTCCAGCTTCCCTTTTAAGGATTGGAACGTGGGAGGTAATTCATTTGTTTCCTTTGGAATCTTGTTATTTTCTTTGCTCTTAACTTAGTGAACGAAAATTAAAGAAATACTGCACTAATTTATTTATTTATTTTTCGAATCTTTTTATTTTTTTTGTTCGTAACTTAGTGAATGAAAAATAAAGAATAATGCACTTAGCATCATATGATTACTTTGGAGTTTGGTAAGTTTTTTTTTCCCACTTCCTTAGCCGAATCCGGTCACACAGATATTACTTTTGTTTTCTGTGGATGGTAGTTATTATAAATCTGAAATCTAACCGTGCATGATTGCAGCAATTTTCTGGTGATGGTTTCTTAAGTTCTGTGCAATTAGTTCAGAACTGTAGAATCTGAAGGGGCACCTCTTTCCTTCTTTTCGACATCTAACATGCTAGAGGATTTAGCTGCGTCTTGCCTGTGTTGGGAAGCCACAGGCATGGCTTTCCAATCTATGAAGGAGAGTTGTTGTCCATTTCCATGCAATTATAAGCATGACTACTATATATTATATTACTGGCTTAATTTGCAGCATACAGCATGTTGTATTTTTGTTTGCTATTTTTTAGAGGATGGGCAATTTGTTGACTCTGTGGTTTTCGGGTTGGTGGAATTAGAAATGATTAATCTATTTCCTTTTACTATAGTATGCATCAAGGTATGAAGGAGATTTAGTAGCCAAGTGCTACTTTGCAAAGAGGAAGCTTGTCTGGGAGATTCTTGAAGGTGGTCTTAAGAGCAAGATTGAGGTCCAGTGGTCAGATATCACAGCCCTTAAGGCAACTTGTCCAGAGCATGGTCCAGGGACTTTGGATTTGGTGGTAACATTATTTTGGTGTCAGTAAATTAGTGTTAGTAAATTTCATTGATTTTCTAAGATTTTATATCTTTTGTGCAGTTGGCTAGGCAGCCTCTTTTCTTTAGGGAGACTAATCCACAGCCTAGAAAGCATACACTGTGGCAGGCTACTTCAGATTTCACTGACGGGCAAGCAAGCAAACACAGGTAAATGAGATATTCTTTGTGCTGGTTAATTGATTGTGATCAGGACTTTACTGTTGATACAGTACTGAGAACACAATTTAATTTCACGGTTTAATTTGTTCCCTTTCTTGAATGTTCCTGCGTTTAGAAATCAATTTCGAAGTTTAATGATGCCTTTTTCTGTCTGCTTATGGATTTGGTCAAATTGGTCACAAGTGGGATTTTACTTTCCCTATCTTGATTATATATCAATCTTATGCCTCGTGGTGTACATGCCAATTAATCAGTAAATTGGAAGCGAGCTTGCAATTTGAGGTTCTTTGGGAATTTTGCTTCTTTTTTTTTATTGGTCTACACTAGTAGCAAGTTCTGATATACTTGTATTCAGGAGGCATTTTCTGCAATGTCCGCAAGGTTTATTAAACAAGCATTTTGAGAAGCTTATCCAATGTGATCCACGATTATATGCACTAAGTCAAGAACTTGATATCATTTTGAAAAGCCCATTTTTTGAACCAAAGATCTCTATGTTTGAGGACCCAGATGAATATAAGTGCCACCCATTTGATAAGCTGAAGGATGAATATGGATCTGCAATTCAAAATTTTCAAGATTCTGCATTGGCTTGTGCTGGCACATCAATTTCTGCCAAGAGTGAAATCAGAGAATCTACTGGTGCATTATCTGATATTTCTATCGGCAAAATCCACTCACCAAGCTCAGGTAGCTCCGCATCCCATTTCTATAATAGTTTATCTGTGTTATGATAATTTAAGAAAATAAATATGTTGCACTTTCTACTTTATTAAGTGCTTGCCGTTGTTACTTACCAATGAAAACTTAGTTGAAGCACATTGTTCCTTTAGTTACCAGTAGGCTTCTCCATTTTTACGAGGCACATTTTTTCTGCTTATCTTGTTTGGTTCTTTTGGATGATATCTAGCATTTGTTGTTTGAACCCCAAAGAAAGAAAAATACACACTAAATTTTACTTGAAATAAGATAAATCTGAAGTCAGCATTCTGACCCATGTGTTCCAACATTAGTACCAACCTTTTCTTTGGCATAGTACAATATTTTGCATGTAGTGAGGACATCTAAATTGTCTCTTTATCATTCTTTGGATCTTTAGATGTTTCTCTATGTTAATTTATCAAATCTTCTGTGCTTCTAAATTTATTCCTATATAGTTCATATTACTAGCTTCTTATTTACTAGGAAATGATACTTGCTAGTACTCATTTGGATTTTGGAGTGTCTAAAGTCTAAACCCCATCTCTGACTGCAATGCAATATATTGTTTGCAAATTTTCATTGTTTTATGATCTTCTACTTTGTGTTTCAGTGATGGATCATATTTCAGTGGAAACTGATGAGAGAAAGAACCATAACTGCTGGGATGAGTTAAAGTACGCTGGACTCAAGCCTTCGATGTCAATTAGTGACTTTGTAAGTCAAATAGAAAATTGCATTTCGGAGCAAATCAGTTCGGGGAATCCACAATTACCTGGTACTATACCCGACAAGAAAATGTTGGAAGAGTTGGCTCAATGCCTCTTCAGCGATTCCCAGATGCCCACCTCTGATGAAAAAACTGTCATGACGAAGGTAAACTCGTTTTGCTGTCTTCTTCAGAAGGATGCTGCCTCAGTCCAAAGCCATCAGATGAATGCTGGTGGCACTTCAGCTGATGATAGTGGCTCCCAGGATGGTGTGTCAGAGAAGCACACACATTCTCTTGAAGATGAGTTCGACAATACCTCAGGTCTCAAGACACTGGCAAACATCTCGAGGAAAGATTCGTTCGGGGAGCTGCTGATGCATCTCCCTCGTGTCGCCTCATTGCCTCAGTTCTTGTTCAATATCACAGAAGATGAAGAAGATAGCTGTCCATCAAACTGACTTTCTCCCAGATGAACATTTAGACTGTATCTTTCCCTCTTTTTCTGTATAGAAATGGTATAAATAAATATTAGGGTTTCAGAAGTTGATAACAGGATGAAGTTCCATCAATGTATATGTGCTTTCATGAAGTGTATGTATATGTGTATTTGGTCATGTTGCTGGATAAGCTGTGTTGGAAGCCCAAACTTTGGTGATGCTATTGGCCAAACCGGCTGAAGAATTGTACTCAGTCACCTTTGTCAGACTTCAATCGTACTTTTCAATGTAGGCCTCATTTTTCTTCATCTTCAAGAAATGCTCATTACACAAATTTCATAGTGCCACATGCTGCAAGGATGCCTCCTTGTTTCTGTGCCTCCGTGAATGCTATGGAAAATTTCTTGATTATTAGGCCGTACTCGCAGAACGAAGAACTTAAAAATAGTTAATGAGGATGTTCATATAAAGTTGGCAGAGATTTGTACATAGAAAAATTCTTAAAGATAGGTATTGATTTTATAGTAGTTTGCACGGTTTTCTAAACATAATTGGCAAAAGTTCTCTTCACAATTTATATATGTTTTATAAATAGCAAGCAATTTATGCGTCATAAGGAAATATATACCTGGGCAGATTTCCTAAAAAAAAAAGAAGTTTTCATTTTCTCTGAGAATGTTACCTTTTAGTTTTATTCTTGACTAAGGTCTTTTATATTTTAAAGGATGAGATTATCTTTCATCTTGTTATGATTGTCTTTGTCTCATCGTGCTATGGGTTATCATGGCCGCTCCATCGTCTTTTTAGGAATCACTCCCATAGTGATGTCGTTATATCGATCTTTACTCCGTTTTGTCACGATGAAAACCCTCGCTGTGATGGGTAATTGCCCCCGAGTCATTCCTCCCTTGATTTCTTCAACGAAAGTATGAATGACAAGGTAGAATCAATCATGACGAGGGAGGTTCGCAGCATGATAAAATAATGAGATTCATAATGAGATTCTGCAGCATGATAAAATATTTATTTATATTTTTTTTTATTATAGTTCAGCTTGGCTGGCTGGCTGGATAGTTGATTCCCTACGTTGACTGCGCCACCACGTTTCGTATTGTTGAGGTACCCTATTTCTATGCATGGCATCATAAATCAATCATACATGCAACCTTATTTTTTGCTTGCTAAAACTTTATTTATTTGAACAAGGTGTTTCATTGTGGACATGCTTTGTGTTAGAGGAATTTTATCAAAATAATAATAATTTATGAGCACTTACACTTGCTCATTGTTAGGAAATGCTTAATAATGAGTACAATTATACAAAGCCATATGACCATTTCACTTGCTCAGAGTTTATTTGCTAGATCAAGATGCATGATCCTGGTGTTTTAGTAAAGAATACTATTCACATTTCAAGCATATGACAAAAAGAATTGAAGATTACAACCATCAAAACAAAAGAAGCCATAGGCTCTACCATCATCTGCTAACCAGTCAAAAAGAGAAAAAAACAATGAAAACTTCTATCTTCCTTCAAAAAGAGAACTCCAAGAAAATTGTAAGACACATTTTCCGCATATCAACAGCAAACCACATTAAGCAGAGGAGCAAAAAGCTCAGGTAGCATAGTGTGTCTCAGTTTAGCAACAAAACTCTTCACTGATATATGATACATTCCATTTTAGACACAATAAATGTAGTTTTACACACCATTGATCCTATATCTTCTTGAGGGATTTATTGTGAAGCCAATCTCTTAAGGTGCTGGAACATCCGATGTTTGATCCACAGCCGATCGTATGGTAGATAAGCCTGAATTGAGTGGTCAAAGCTGCAAGCAGAAAACAAAAGGCACAGTTGATTAAGTAGGTAAAATAAAATGAGTGAAGCAGGAAAGTGTAAATGAAACACACATCAATGCGCTAAGGTCTGCCAGGCCGTCGATGAAATTATAAAGATCAGAAATGTCATAAGTGATGTTTTGGATGGTTGGATTTATTTCCTTCAGTTTTCTTTCGTACAACCCACAGATCCCTGTGAATGAGAAATAAGGTGGGTGAAACACTTGAGACTTCAATCTTCATTAAGAACAAAAGCCAAGTCATTAGGAAACAACAAGAGGTGGAATGACTACCAACTAGGCCATCAGGAAGAAAGCATATAACCAAGGCATTAATTAGGGCATGCTACAAAACTTATCTGAGACGTAGATGTTACTATCATCCTAAGAACTGTGTCCTCGCTATATAAAGAATTTCAACCAAATTAAAATACATCAGTATCTGAAAGAACCAAGTAAACATTTTCAATGACTTCCTTACAAATTGCATTGACTTAATATAACTACCATGTTGTTTTAAATTTTAACCAGCTTGCTGTGATAATTAAATAGTTGTTTCCCCAATAGTAACTTGAAACTGAAGCCAATTGCAGTTCAAAGAACAAAAATTATCCCAACTTCTATGGATGGGCGATAATAACCCTCACTCGAGTCCATATATCTGCAATGTGTTGCAACAAGGATTCAACACAAGGATATCAACCATTTTTTAATTACATAAATTTGATACATTTTTTGAAACAAAATAAACCAAAACAAACTTAATAACTTGAAAAGACATTGCAAACTGTTCCTGACAATTTCTGATGGATAGTGCAAGAATTATCTGGCAGGATGAATTTACATAAATTATGTGCATATAAATTTCATGAATTCCTACGTAAATCATGCATATTTCATGAATTGAACATGTGTTATAACCTTCATTACATGTCAATTTCCATTTTATAAATATATTAACCACTGAATCCAAGTGAAGGTGAAATCATTAATTTCCTATGAATAACAATGACATGAAAATTTAAGAACCCTCTGAAATAAACAGAATATCACAGATAAGAAATGTCCAGTGATGCAGCTTAAATGAACAATTTTGAAAATTTCAGCATCTTGAGACATAAGTGACTGTACCATCCATAGCCTGACTAATAGAACCATAATCCATGAAAGTTCTGGTTGCCCTGTTAGGAGATGACTGCATCAGAACAATGGTGTGTCTATTTGCCTGCATATTTGGCAACCACACCAACCATTATATATCCAAATATCTTCATTAGAGATTAAATTTAGTAAACTATGAAGCATAACAGACAACTGAAACATGAGTAGTAAGAATCCCTGTTCTGAGTTTCTGTCAAATCAATAGTTTACCGCTTATTTACAGTTGATATATGGCTATCCTACTATCTCAATTTTGAACTCAGTTATTCAGCATACGTAAATTGGTACAGTCGGGAGAGATCTCCAACTGAAAACATCCAGCCAAACAAGTGTTGGATGATTCAGGAAAGAAAAGAAAATTTAACTTAGCTCAGACATCTACATGCGGCTTCTGACATCAGCCATTGAGCTGGGCCAGTTTTTAATGATGAAGGGAAGAAGTTACATGCAGCTTGCAAGATAGGGCATTGAGCTGGCCCAGCATAATGCTTATCATTACAAATAGCATCACACATATCGGTAAGACATCGAAATAGAGTTCAAGACTTGAAACATGAATATCATGTTGATAAAATCTATTTATATGGACCAAGTAGCCCCTGAAAAAATTCATAGCTGCTATCTCTTCTCAGAGATCTAATGTATGAAACCCACAGAAGTACCCCACAATATAATGTATCAATGCTTAGAATGTTCTTTTTAAGATATATGATGAAATGATTCCATATCTGAGCTTGTCTCGATGCAAAACCGCAAGGATGTCCAAGCAACAAATGCAGATCCACTGTGAAATGGCAAATTACAAATTTCTTTATGCAGTACTCTCCCAGTCAGTAGGCGTTGGTATACATTCGCACCTGTTTTTGTGAAGCTGTCAATGTAGAAAATATTTCTTCCAAATATGCATCAAGAAGCTTCCTTAGCTTATCCTAAGTCTATAAACACAACTTTATATCATAGTTTGCTGACATATAGGAAATAGGAGACAATGAGAAGATACTTTTTCACAATTAAAAAGGAAGCTTTAGCAAAATAAGATAATGAGTGAATACTTGTTTGCCATTGTTGCTATGTAGAATAGCAATAATAGAAAACAACAGAAGCTTAAGCATGTAGCCAGGCAAATATCTAGTTGCAAAATTAAATTCAGAGTATCAACATGGCAAACATCCAAATGTACTTATAGTGGCAGGCTGCTATTACAATTGCAATTCTGATATGAAAACTCATACTGCAGCTTGGGTTAAGGCTAATCAAGTAGGACTAAGTAGAGTTCTAGGTTAAGTATATTTCGGCCACCAAATTGGATAAAGCTAAGTCTACAATTAGGTCAGATTGGTCTGCACCTCAACAAGAGCCGCAACAGACATAAGTTGAGAACATTCCCAAAGCCTGCCTCCGCCTTCATGTTCAAAGCCAATCCAGCCTGTTCAAGATCGAATTGCACCGTAATTGGGACTGAGCTGATTGGTCTAGTCAGCAGTTTTCATCAGAATCTTTATGTCGCACTTTAGCTAATTATAGTCCTATTTGATTCATGTTCAAGTTCAACAAAGGCATAAATTTATTATAGGAAAGCAGTAAAACTTAACAGAATAAATCAATTTAGGTTGTCTGGTGGTGTACAAAAAGATTTCAAAGGGAAATTATGTGTGTATGAAAAAATGCTGATGGCATCAAACATATTTTACTTTCTAATACATTCAATGCATGTTGTATCGGCTTCTTCTTTACATTCTATATCTAATCTTGTCTGCTACTCACTTCTCCCCCTCTGTAAACTTTCCTAATTTACAAATTGTGAGTTCTTAACTTCAGGTTACACCATATATGTAGGTCCAGCTAATCAAAAGCGCACACAAAGGTATATACTGCCAGATAAATTTAACCAAAGTTGGTTGGCGATACATAAAGTTTAGACTTCTTTGGATACCAAACAAGAAAACAAACATAAAAAACAAACAAGTTTTGAAGAATACCAACAAGAAACCAAAACATATAATATGCATGTTACAATGAAACAAAGATGATAATATCCATGTGAATTTCTTTAGTCCAAAGGATTTAAAAGGAAAATAAACAAAAAAAATTTGTCGGTCTTATTTGTTGTTAAAGTGAAATGATACAACGACAAACAAACATCTGGACACAAATATCCTTTTTATAATTTCTTGTAAAAAATTTTACATGATGAAAACAAAATGTCGACTAAACTATCAGATGTAATCCTTTTCATACTTTTTAAACACAATTTTAATGAGAAAAACAAAGCACATTCTATTTATAAAAAAAAAACATATAGCAAGT